AAGAGAATCACTTGCCTCAAGAGGGCAGTGAGCTACGACGCCACAGAACTTTATGGAGGGTGACAAAAGTGAGACCCTGTCTCAAAAAAAAAAAAAGAAAGAAGAGGAAAAAAGAAAACCTAGCTGGGCATTGTGGCAGGCACCTGTAGTTCCAGGTACTGGGGAGGCTGAGGTAGGAGAATTACTTTAGCCCAAGAGTTTGAGGTTGCTGTGAGCTGTGATGCCACAGCACTCTACCCAGGGTGACAGAGTGATACTCTGTCTCAAAAAATAAAATAAAATAAAGTAAAAGAAAAGTTTAGATTGCTGTTTGCTCAAGATACTGATCCTGAGGTCCAATCTCTCCTGTGACAATGGGTGACCAGCAAGGTAGGATGCTGTTAAAGACAGACTGGCACCGTGCTGAAGCTCTCTTACATCAGCAGAGATGTAAAAACATTAAGGATGTAAAAAAAAAATGGGAACTCTCCTACTCTGCCAGAGGGCATTGTAGGATGCTGCAATCACGTAGGGTAGCAATTTGGCAATACCTACTAAATAATTAAATAACACCTGGGCCCACCACTCTTCCATGCGTCTGCCAGGGTAATTCTTACACACGTGCATTATGACGTATGAAGCAGTTTTGTTTGTGATATCAAAAAAAAAAAAGTCAGGGCAGTGTTCAACAGACCCAGCGTTGTGGTCGGTGCCTATAGTCCCAGCTACTTGGGAGGCTGAGGCAAGAGAATTGCTTAAGTTTGAGGTTGCTGTGAGCTGTGACAGCACTCTACCAAGGGTGACAAAGAGAGAATCTGTCTCCAAAAAACAAAGAATGCAGACAAAAGTAGAGACTTTCAGGAAAAGTGGAACGAAAATAATGTGTTGCAGCTGGGCTACATTACAAGCTGAGGAAGCAGCAAACACCAGGTGAGTAGAACCAGGGATCAGTCGGTTCTCCTAATCTCTGTTCCCACCAATCCAGCCACTACCTGTCATGTGCTTAGTCAGGAGAACCTGAGTGCCAGCCTCCACTTG